GTAGGTTTGTGGCGTATTTGTTACACCATTGCCGATCGAATGAACCGATAGATTCTTTCCATTTGCGAATGCCGTAATCGGGACACTGTAGTAACTACTATTCCACTGGGAAGAAAAAAATAAGTATATGAGAAACAAAGACAATAAATATATGAGAAAGTTGGGAATGTGTAAGAGAATGGAATGTGATATTGTTTTATTGTACAGAGTAATTAGAAAAATCGAATATGATATAGGAATACATCATATATAGAAACTGTTTCCTATTTTCTTTTATTATAATTTATTATAATTCGTATCTATTTATTATTTTTATATTATTTTTATGATTATAAAAATATTTTTAATTGGAGTTTGAGAACGAACGATGAAGAAATCGATTATATATTATTTTCTTACTCAATCTGTCACATAGTTAAACTTATCACAATAAAAGCAAAGTAAAAAGTATAACTATTTTTAATTTATTTAGAATAATATAAATTCTTATTTTTCGCCCTTTAAATCCTTCGTTTAATGTATTCGGTCGACGAGATTGTAAAATGCGCGTTGATTGAAGGTCAATATTTTATTAGGCGAAATTGAATATCGAGTTGATAAAAACCATCTCTAAATATCCTCTATTGAACTATAACTAAATATTAACAGAATGAGTATTTTATACATTTATCAACAATTTGTGGAACATATTAATTTTCATTTTGAATGCTATAATTATTATACAATTAATGATAATTATAAACCTATAGCTATAATTATCAACAGTTTCAAAAAATGTATTAAAAAGGTACTCGATGTAGGTCAAATTCGCGTTTAAATTAGTAAAAAATAATTCACTTTTTATAGAATTATATTTAAATTTAATCGTCGCTATATACAACAATACTTGTTGTAATACTGAATTGTAATTGATTATAATTGATACTTAAATGTCAGATATAATTTAATTTTTCTTTCCTTCTTTGTAGTTAATATAATTTTTGGAGTGTATTTGATAATTGATAATGCTAGAGGAAATTAGAGAAGCATCCTTAAAAAAATTCATGTACATTATAATATGAGAAACATCTTCGTTTCTTTAAAAAGCGATGGAGAATGACACGCAAAGAAAAGCCCGTGTCAAGGGTCGTTCCAACAATTTAGATAATCCATTTGGATACAAAGAGCCAGTCGACATACCAAAATATCACCTAAAAAACTGCATAAAAACCAGAGCATCGGCTAACGAAAAATTGAAAATTGGAAGTTGGTCGGGTTGGTCGAGAGAGGGGGGGGGGACGAGGAGGAGGAGGAGGAGACGTCGTCGTGAGCGTCGATTGTCGTTCCCAGAAGCGAGCGATTGATCGAACAAGAGGAGCAAAAAGGGGCCACAGGGAAATAAAAGGTGCGAGGACAAAACCGCCCGGGGGAGATTTGCAGTCAATTAGCCGGCGTCTCGGTCACTTTCGCCGACGTCCAATTAATTATTGCGTCGCGTCTTGCCGCCGCTTTTTGCCGGCGTCGCATAATTGTTTCATTAGTCGTCCGCGGTTATTTTTTCCGCACGCGATCAAGCGCGCGAAATTGGCGCTTTTCATGCCACGTCCAAGGAAGAATTTTGCCGTCCTCTCTCACCGGCCCTTTCTCTCTCTCCCTCTTTTTATCTCCCCCCTCTCTCTCACGCTCTCTCTCTCGCTCTCTCTCGCTCTCTCGAAATTTGATGGATTTATTGAAAGTGAAATGAGAGCGTTATTTAATGCTCGCAAATTCCTGCGTGGGTGATTTTATGCAAAAGGAAGTTTGCATTGACAAATGGCAATTGCTTCTAAGAGTGTAATATGAAATTTCAAACGTGGCAAATAAAGTCTTACTTTATTGTTTTTCGTTGTTAAACAAATATATTTTCAATTCGATTAATCGATGATTTGACATTATCGATACCTACACACGTACTCTTATTTTTATAATAATCAGTCACATTCTGTTTACATATTCCGTTAGGCTTACTTCATTAAATTTAACGAAATAAAAATTTCTTGTAATTAATATGTCTTTGTACAAGGAAATTTTATATTTTCCTTTTCATTATACGAACTATTTGCATCGTATAGTATTTGATGAATTTAGAATATTAATTTGGACGCTCCGGCACTTCTTCTGATTAATAATAAAACAGTCGTTCTTGCAGCGTTTGTTGCTCATGTAAAACTGATGTACATATATATTACAAATATTCTGAAATATAATTGTATCTTAAGTTTTGACGAGTCGATAAATTCAGCACTCGTTGTTACATAATGCAGTGGATTTTCAGTTGACAAAGGATTGAAGCGTGAGATATTTGTTATTCTTTGAATCTCAATGGCAGGCTGTTAAAAAAAAATGTCTAAAGATTATGAAATGCCGAAACTCAACGAGCTAACGGTTAAATGACAAACTCAAAATTTATCCACGACATCGTCATATTATTAAAAACCATATCAGTCAAGAAAGTAAAACAGCCGTCAACGTGGAGAACGCGCAAATCCTACGGCATTCAAAGCCATTTGCTATCGTACGTAAAAAGGCGTTAAGATT